TGAAAAATGAATGATTAGGGAATCATTCTCCTAAAAATGATTGTTTGTATCATCTAAAATAAATTAACGAAAAATACTTTCATTGTATACGAAAATATTAAGACATTAATTTTTCTCAGTAACAAAATCATTTTTCATTGAATGATCAGTTCAAGCGACATAAGTGATCATTTTAAGAAAAATATTTTTCAAATCGTTTATTTATTGCGAAACACACATACCCTAAGAAAGAATCTCATTGTAGATTGAGCTTTTACTTTCACATAGGCTTAAAACCAATTTCATTGTTTCCTTTGTTTTAAATGTTATGAAACTTAAAGGACGAAATAATGAACATAGATGAATGCACAAAAAATTTGCACGGAAACTAAGGAGTGATCGGCACTAGAATGGCCCGGTTCCACAAAATGGGAATCGGGAGCCACCCACTGGTTTCTGGATCCATTCCGGAATCGGACCACTGGTCTGGTTTGGTTCCCGGGTGGGTTCATGGAATTAGGCATTGCACAACATTAGTTGCTACTAATAGCTCTCCATTGTTTCGGAAGACAATTCCGATTTTTTGAACCCTTTTCTTGCCATTTTCTGGTCGAGACCAAACAAGAATTCTTAATAATCACCGTTGGTTGGAACAAAGAAGAGACGGTAATCTCAGAGCAAACCAATTAAGACACAGGCACATGACGATAGCCCATTTCTCTTTCCAATCGCACGCGAGACACTTCGAAATGCTTCATTTGCATAAACTATCTTTCAGCGAAAGAACATGATCACAGAGCAAATATCACCTCCTAGGAAATGGGAAAATCAAGCGCACTGACAAATATCAGCTTTCTCAGGTGAAATACCAAAGGATCACACAACAGAATTGCTAGAACTATCAAGAATGACCCAGAAGAAGAAATTACAATTAACAAAAGGAGAGGGAGCGATGAGCGTAGTGAGCGAGTGAAGCTACAAGAGGTGAGCAAAAGACCAGGACTGGAATACATTTAGGTGATCTAGATGGGCGGTTCTACACTTGAAACGGAAACCGGACCAGTTCTCGTGGGAATCGCCCATAACCAGCCGGTTCGGTCCGGCTCAGGCAGTTCCCTGTTCGGTTTTGTTCTTTTGCCCACCCCTAATAGAAAGCATGCTTTAATTAGAAAAAAAAATCTATTTTATTGTTTTTTGGAAAATTCATAATGCTATATAACACAGTCTACTTGATTTTCATAGATAATTGTAATATTATTCAGTATCTAAATCATGATTAAGATATTCATATCCATAACGATAAATAACCTTACAAATATTTTATCTATCTTACGGAAGGTGACAATCAAAAGAGATTATCCCACAACAACTCATACTAATTCGTCGTTCATACGGCGTATAAATGCGTGCACTTTCTCGCTAAATCTCCGCATCAACTAATACCACATCTTTACTTGTTCGTTATCGTCTTACATTACTTTGCTCGATTATGGCAGAAAGACAGACAAGAGTGCATCGAAGAGCTAAGATGAAACGAATCGAAAACGAGGATATCAGGCTCGTTACATTCTCGATGCGAAAATCTGGTGTATTCAAAAAAGCTAGTGACCTTGTAACCCTCTGTGGGGGCGGAGGTGGGAGTTGTAGTACTCTCTCCTGCCCGAAAACCCTTTTCTTTCGCCCATCCGTCCATTGACACAGTCGCTGATAACTTCCTAGCGGAAGCCCTTGGAGCAATGATAGGTTCCGTGCCTTGGTTGACTCCTATCATCGAGTTCGGACTGATGAGCTCAACCAACAGCGCGATGAGCTTGTTGATCAAACCAAAGCTGAGAAGGCACGAGGCAAAGTGTTGAAGCGACTGACCGGAGGAAAAAGCGATGGGGGCATGGTGGGAAGCTCCCGTCGAAGAGCTCGACCTGGAAGAGCTCAACCAGATGAAGGCGCGAATGGCGGAGCTTCGGCGGAGCTTGTGGAGGTCGATCAATCGACAGACTCAAGGAGAGGCATCTACATCCTTTCAAGGACAAAGTTCAACTTAGATATATAATCCCTTTTCCGACAAATTCGCATCATAGTACTGCTCCAAATTTCCTCCCGAGATATGATAATGAGTGTTGAAATATAACGCAAAAACAACATAATCTTGCAAATTAAATCAATGCGAAAGCACCAGAAAAACAAACGAGAAATAATAAAGGACACCAAAGATTTACGTGATTCGATCTAAATATCGGTACCTACATTAACGGGGAGAGCCAACAATAAATAATCCACTATAATCGGAGAATCAAAATTACAATTCGCTTATACACTCGAGTATTTCCAGCACCTAGATTTAAGCTCAAACCCAAAATGTTTACGAATAAATAATTTATTTAGACAAAATAAGCTCATAGAATAAATCACCGTGTGTTCAAGTCCAAGCAAAATACGCGCACGTTCAAGAATGTCTCTATACGTTCTGCCTCCTTCGTGCGGCTTGAATACACGCGTCTCTGTACGTCTTGCTTTGTGCGGCTTTGGTCTTCGCTGAAAGAAAGAAACCCTCAATTTCTTTTCCTTTTCTATGCGGCAAAACCCTTTGCTTTTGCTTTCCCTTTTATGTGACTTTTGTGGCCCCACACGTTCCTTTTGTCCGTCCAAGAAGGGAAGTCCTTCACCGGTAAGGAGTCAACAAATTGACCTGGGCCCACCAAAGTAGATATAATAAAATAAAGTGCGCTCCTGTTTTGTCTTTTAGTGGCCTTCTTTATTTCCCTATTTGTACTGCCACGAGCCCTTTATCCGAAATCAGCCAAATAGAAAAGTGAATTTGTTAGGCAGGCTCAAACTCGAGAGATAAATTGAACAATAAGAATATACAAGTTTGACTGATAGTGTTAATTTGTTTTCATATGTGCTTAATTTTTATTGGTATCTTACCTAGACAAGAAATTATGGATGGTGTTTCATGTCTTGACACACTTTCTTACGCTGATGCTTTACTTGTAATTAGACTAACAAAGCACGTGACAAATTTAACAGAGGAGCGAGAGCAGTGAGAGAAATTTGTCTTAAGACTGATTTGGAACGGTTGTGTCTTGGAACACTTTCGTACACTGGTATGACTAATGTTAATTAAAAAGGTTCTCACCGTGAAACCCCTTAGGGTCATTTGCGCTTACTTTAGGTACATTATCGCGTTCCACATGTAAGTTTCTTTTGGAAATTGACAAAAAAGGAAGTTCCATTCTTGTTTGGTTTTTACTGATGTCATTATTGTTGACACATAAATACAATTTAAGATTTAAAAACTATGCAATATCTATTTGTAATCGTATGTGTCATTGTTTATCTACTTTGGACTGTATAATTATGATATTTCTCGTTATATTAAAATTCGGGAATGATATTGAACATTTATCAATAGTTCATAGACAACATTGAATAAATTAGAACTTTAGGGATGACATTGCACATTAGGCCAAAATTCAGAAATCACATTACACAAATTAAAAGTTCAGGAACGACATTATACATTGGACCAAAGTTCGGAGATTATTTGTGCTATTATCCCTAGACTAAAAGAGCAATGATACTGCTTTTGATGAATTGGACTGAGTTAGGAGACCGAACATTAGACCTGTTACATGGGTGGGTTGGGTCGGGTCATAAATAGTCTGATACAAATTGATCAATTTATTCGTAATGTAAATTTCGTAACCCATACCCGATTCAGATTGCTAAAATACTTATATATTTAACCCAATTTAGGAAAAATTGTCTCTATATGATTTTAAAAAAATTATATTGTTAAAAAAAACTTCTATGCAATACAAATCTAGTGGACAATTTTTATAATTTTGTTTAAAAAATTGACATTCCATATGTTTCATGGAAAATGTGACATTTCTAGAAAATGCTTTCTAGGAAGTCATTTTTCAAGAAAATAACAATATTTTCTAGTGTTTGGCTAAAACCTGAAAATGAATTAGAAAATATTCTCCGTCATTTGGTATGAAAAATATGATTTGATTTTCCTCTGTGCAATCATTTCAATAATTTTTATTTTTTTATTTTATTTTAAAAAAATCGAATTTTCAATTATTTTTTCTTTTCTTTTTTTTTTTCCTTCCTCTTTGGCCGATCACCAGCCACGGCGATAGTCGACAATTCGCGAAGCTCAAGCTCACTAGCAAGGCTCAGCGAGGCTTGAGCTTGCTTGATTCTAGCGAGTCGAGCCAAGCCATCGAGGCAAGCCAAGCCAAGCTGAGGAGCTCAAGCTCGAGGCTCGCTAGATCAACGAGGCTCGAGCTCGCTTGAGGCTAAGGCTGACGAACTTGAGGCTTGAGCCTCGCCTAAGGCCATGGCCTGCTTGTGGCCATCGTCATGGCCGGCATCCAGCCGAAGAAGTAGGGAAAAGAAAAAATGAAAAAGAGAAAAACAAAATGAAAAAAACAAAAAAATTGCAATTTCGATTTTTTTTATAAAAATGTTTTTATAAGGCTAAAGAGGGAAATGGGTTGGAAATAGGTTCTAAACTCAATCCATTTAGACTCATTTTCATAGGTCCACCGAACACTAACAAATGGCATAGAGCAGTAATAGAGTCCGAAATCTTGAAACCGAAACGGAGCCGAAAACTCACCATCATAGCTCGCAAAGACTGGTCCTAAGCAAGACCTAAAAATGCTCAAGAAGGATAAGAGGAGCGAACACCTCAGTGGAGGGGGAAGTTTATGATTTCTCATTTCTACTGAAGTGAATCCTCTCAAACTCCTCCGTATTCACTCTCTCCATGTAAGAAAAAGATTTAGAGGGAGCTTGGAGGCTTCTGGGTGGTGAAGGTAGACACCACGTCGGTTTCGACTGGCTATCACTGGATAGGTGGATATAATAGCCTCTCGCCCCTGAGATTGAGATGACAGAGGGGAGTTTCGGCTCCAGCGGCATCGTCGCTAACGCGACTTAACCTGCAAGGAAGCATCGTTCCCCTGGTTAAGTCGCGCGTGTCGGCTTTGTCCAACCAAAAAAACCGAAAAAAAACAGAGGCAGTCGGCTTAAATTCGGCATCTTCTTTCGGCTCAACCGTCGTTTCTCCAAAGTTAAATAACGAAAGCCCCTCAATTCATTCCTGCTCGGACCAAATCCATCCGTGCGCCGACATGGCCACCGCCGCGTTCGCACCCCAGCACCTCCGATCCTCCTCCTCCCTCCTCCTCCTCCTCCTCCTCGCCACCGCGCCTCCGCCGGCCCACTCCCTCTCCTACTTCCAGTACAAGACCCTCCTCTCCCTCGCCCACTCCCTCGCCACCCGCGTCGCCACCCTCCGCGCCTCCCGCGGCGACCTCGCCGGAGCCGACCGCGCCAGGGCCGTGGGGGAGCTGGGCGAGCTGCTGGGCCTGGTGGGGGAGTTCGCGAGGGCGGAGTCGGAGGCGGAGAGGGCGAGGTGGATCGGGGGGAATTACGGGAATGCCATGCGGGTCTCGAAGTCGGTCTTCGCGAGGCTTCTCAGAGTGTTCAGCAAATCGGTACGGTGTCATTTCTTCCCTTGTTCAATTTTTTCTGGTCAAATTCATAGCAGATGATTGTTGTTAATGGTAGTAGAGACATTATGCGATTACATTTCATTCAGAATCATGATCAGTAGAAATGGGTAATTTGTTTAGCAAGATCCCAAAGGGTTGAAGAAGATAAGAAGTCTGTACGAGGTCTGATCAAGTTTCATACATTTTTTACTATGTTTGGAAAGATTTTGAGGCGGGTGAGGAAAATGAAGGTGATGAAAAGGAATGCTTAGGATCTTCTTTCAACAGGAGGTACAATCTTCAGGACTAGAGATTGCCCATGGACTGAATGATTTATCTACTCTAGAGAGAGAGAGAGAGAGAGAGCCATTAGTAATGTACATAGAGAGCCGACTTGAAGTGTCACTTTCCAAGGCGACTCACCATGCAATTAACATTCCAAATGCCAAAACTATTGACACCCAGAAGTTGAATTACTTACTGTACCAGAAATGAGACACATAGGGAGTCGCCCATCCTTGACTCTGCTTAGCTGAAGCATCTTCTTCTCAACTTCCCGGTTTAATACCGGGGCAATATGACTCGGTTTGGAAGGAATAAGATGAAGATCAGGCATCTTGTCTTTGCTTCTAACTTTGTCGAAGATAGAAATGATTTTCTCGATGAAATACATTTTTTTTTAACACTGAACATGAATTTAACTGAATATTTTTGAGATATTAAAACGAACATATTAGCTTCTATACCAGTTGATTGTTAAACTAACTTGAAATATAAAAAAATTAAACAGAAAGGAATATTATCGGTTGAATAGAACAAAGATCTCTGTGCATTTGACCAAGTTGGTCAAGAGAAACAGAGACCAGATGTGCTAGGCCAAACTGGTGAAAAAAGAAGAGGCTAAAAGCATTACGTCAACAGAAGTTCAAATACATGTGTGAGTGAAGGATATAATGCAAATTTGTTCCTTTCTTATCCCGACGATGATCTTTGGGATCTTTACAGGGTCCACTGCAGGAGTTGGTAGAGAGCATGCAAAAGGAAGTGGTGGATGGTGATTTCCTGAGGGATTGTCTGGAATTGGGAAGTAATGACTTGAAAGGACTGATCCAAATTTTGAAGGATCTTACCTCTCAATATTACTCGTCACCTGATCATGGCCATGATCTCTAGAGCATCACCCAGGACATGTATTTGGAACCAATTTTGCACTGAAGGTCCCTGGGTAAGCACTATGTTTATGTACCACATTACAGAAGGAGTTGAACATTTCGAAATCATTTCTGTAGAATTTTGGCGGGAGTTGAGGAGGTAAACATAGAGAAGTAGAGAACTCTGATTGCTAGGTGTCATCTGAGTCATGTTGTTATTGTTTGGAGTTTCTTCAGTATCTTTTCTGTGGTGGAGAGCTGTAAATAGTTCTCAATTGTAAAGATGTAATTCCTTTGTCTTTAATTGGATAATTTTCACTTTCTATGGTGTTGAACTAATGACATGAAATTGAACAGTTATGATCACCTCAACGTGACAATAGGACCAAATTTTTTTTTTATTTGTAGTTATGTTGGAGGGTTGTGTCTGTTGAGGTCATTCCTTTACTTGAACTATTTCTGTAATGATGAACTGAACACATCATAATGATTTATAGTAAACTGAACACATTGAACTCAAGAACTCGGTTATCTTGGATGAATCTTTACTATCAATTGGTATAACTTATGAGATCTTATGTTGATGAACTTTTACCCCAAAGTTCCGAACTATAACCCTTCTTTTAAGACCTTTTGTTAAGATTGACATGATAAATTTGGAAGGTAATTATAGTAATTTAGCTTAACAGAGACTTTCTCTTTAAATAACTGTCTAATGTAGCCACAACCAAAGTGGACATGGAGATAACCCCTCTTCTCCCTCTTAAACACCTGGTTCGTTCCCAATTCATGGATGTACCTTTTTCTTCCATCCCTCAACCTAATTTTCTAAACTTAAGTTTTCTCCTCTGTCTCTACCCTGTTTTCTTAGTGCGAGAGAATCTTATTGAGCAAAGACAAGTGGTAGTATTGTTTCTATTAAGGAATGAAATAACTAGAATCGGTGGCAAGAACAATAACTGAAGGAAGAGGATGATTTGCTTTTTTCGTTTTTTGTTGCTTGCAAGATTGTTGTTTAAGTTATACTTTTAAGGAATGGAATGCCTATAAAATTCATCAGCAAATGTATAGCAAGGTGTAAATTTTAGGACTTAAGTTTCTGACGACATTCTTCCGTTGTAGTGATTATATAGAAGTCAGATTACTTCTCTCAAAAGATAATTATGTTGTTTCTTTGCTTTTTCTCTGATGCAAGTACAAAAGTTTGGAATGCTAGTATCGTCTGAAAGCTATCGAAGAAGCTGCACTCATTCTGTCTCTGGCCTGTGTGATTCTGCCTGGACTTGTGGTTTTGGTGTGCTTTCGTTTATGTCAGTTTGTTTGGAAGCGGCTGGTGTAAACATATGTGCTAGAACTTTTATTAATTTTCTCTCGTCAGATGGGTATTATAGCGTCCTGAAGTTGTATTGCCAGATTAAAAATTGAGAAGAATCGCGTTGCAATTCAGGCTGCTGTGAAAGTTGAATACAACCTCACTAAAAGAAAAGATTGCTGTTAAAACCCTACTAATGGCTCTACGATCAAACATTTTTTATGACAGTTCAAGTATTTGTATGTGTCTTTGGATTTGCTTGGAGTCAATTTTTCGGGTTGACGATCCTTTGCATTGAAAAGGACATTCTTCTGAAGCAGGTCATTTGATTACTCATTCATCTAAGTGTGGGATCCAGGATAGTCTAGGAATTCTTCAATGGTGTTTCAGTTGCTGCCAGGACAGGTATTATGCTTTCATGATTTTCCAACCAATGATGGGCGTCTAAGTCAGCAAGTACCATCTACAGATTTTGATCTAGTTTTGTCTGACCTGGTAATTGGTATTCCTAATAAAGGGTCTAAGGCATTCAGAATGACGTGAATAGATTGGAGATGCTTTTCAGGAGATAACCTCTCGCCACAACGAGTTACCTGAGGACATTGTCTTTCAGGTCAAGAAATCTTGCAGCGAGACATGTGGTTCCGTTCCAAAAGCCAGGATTTGTGTTTTCAAATCAAAAGTGACTCGGACATTGTTTTTTCTTCATGCGAGCATGTTGTTTTTCTAGGTTGTCAATCCGTGTTTGTGATTCATATTCTTGTTGTGTCGATTTAAACAGCATGCTGTGAAACAGATTTCTTGAAACGCGTCATGTTCAGAATTGTTTCCAAAGTCCAAACCCGGATACAATCCGTTGTCCGAACATGATCTGCACAACCAATTCAGTTTACTGATCGGACCTCCGTCACCCATCTACTCCAATGGGAAAATTATATAGAAAGTCATAAACTTATTGCGCTTTTTATAATTTCTTTGCCACTTCCCTCCCTCTCCCTCTTGATCAGAAACAGTTTTTGTCACTGGAGTCACTGTAGGTGGTAATGGTGATTAGTGTGCGAAGATGGAAGTAGAAGATGGAAGAGATGAGTTGAGTGGATTAATATCAAAAGGGAGGAATAAGTGTCGACGTCTTGTGAAGGAGACAAGTAATGCCAAACGAGGCAGATGATCCTCGCCTATAATATTGTCAATAATAAGTAAGAAGAACCTAACTTTAATCAACCTGTTCTAGACATTTTGAACTTTCAATTTAATCCTAGACAAATTTAAGTCAAAAAATTTCAAGCCCAAGCAAAATACGCGCATGTTCAAGAATGTCTCTATACGTTCTGCCTCCTTCGTGCGGCTTGAATACACGCGTGTCTGTACGTCTTCCTTTGTGCGGCTTTGGTCTTCGCTGAAGGAAAGAAACCCTCAATTTCTTTTCCTTTTATATGCGCCAAAACCCTTGCTTTTGCTTTCCCTTTTATCTGACTTCCGTGGCCCTACACGTTTCTTTTGTCCGTCCAAGAAGGGAAGTCCTTCACCGGTAAGGAGTCAACAAATTGACCTGAGCCCACCGAAGCAGATATAATAAAATAAAGAGTGCTCCTGTTTTGTCTTTTAGTGGCCTTCTTTATTTCCCTATTTGTGCTGCAACGAACCCCCTGTTCGAAATAAGCTAAATAGGAAAGTGAATTTGATACGCGGGCTCAAACTCGAGATATAAATTCAATAATAAGGACGGACAAGTTTGACCGATAGTGTTAATTTGTTTTCATGTGTGCTTAATTTTTACTGGTGTCTTTCATAGACAAGAAATTATGGATGGTGTTTCATGTCTTGACCCACACTTTCTTACGTTGATGCTTTACTTGTAATTAGACTAACAAAGCACATGACAAATTTAACAGAGGAGTGAGAGCAGTGCGAGAAATTTGTCTTAAGACTGATTTGGAACGGTTGTGCCTTGGAACACTTTAGTACACTGGTATGACTAATGTTAATTAAAAAGGTTCTCACCGTGAAACCCCTTGGGGTCATTTGCGCTTACTTTAGGCACATTATCGCGTTCCTCATGTAAGTTTCTTTTGGAAATTGACAAAAAAGGAAGTTCCATTCTTGTTTGGTTTTTACTGATGTCCTTACTGTTGACACATAAATACAATTTAAGATTTAAAAACTATGCAATATCTATTTGTAATCGTATGTGTCATTGTTTATCTACTTTGCACTGTATAATTATGATGTTTCTCATTATATTAAAATTCGGGAACGATATTGAACATTTATCAATAATTCAAGTACCACCTTGAATAAATTAGAACTTTAGGGATAACATTGCACATTAGGCTAAAATTGAAAGACCACATTACACAAATTAAAAGTTAAAAAATGGCATTACATATTGGACCAAAGTTCGATGATCATTAGTGCTATTATCCCTATACTAAAAGAGCAATGATACTACTTTCGATGAATTGGACTGAGTTAGGAGATCGAACATTAGACCTGTTAAATGAGTAGGTTGGGTCGGGTCATAAATAGTCCAACACAAATTGATTAATTTATTCGTAATGTAAATTTCTTGACTCATTTGTGATCCATATTGTTAAAATACTTATATATTTAACCCAATTTAGGAAAATTTGTCTCTTATGATTTAAAAAAAATTATATTGTTAAAAAAACTTCTATGCAATACAAATCTAGTGGACAATTTTTATAATTTTTTTTAAATTGACGTTCCATATGTTTCGCGAAAAATGTGACATTTCTAGAAAATGTATTCTAGGAAATCATTTTTCAAGAAAATAACAATATTTTCCGGTGTTTGGCTAAAACTTGTAATTGAATTAGAAAATATTCTCCGTCATTTGGCATGAGAAATATGATTTGATTTTCCTCCGTGCAATCACTTTAATATTTTTTTATTTTTTATTTTATTTTAAAAAAAATTGAATTTTTAATTATTTTTTTTTCTTTTTTCTTTTTTTTTTTCTTTCTTCTTTGGCCAGTCACCAGCCACAGCGATGGTCGGCGATCCGCGAAGCTCGAGCTCACTGGCTAGGCTCAGCGAGGCTTGAGCTTGCCAGATTCCAGCGAGTCGAGCCTCGCCACTGAGGCAAGCCGAGCCAAGCTGGGGAACTCAAGCTTGAGGAGCTCACTCGAGGCTGAGGTTGACGAACTCGAGGCTCGCCAGATCGACGAGGCTTGAGCCTCGCCTAAGGCCTCGGCCTGCTTGTGGCCATTGTCGTGGCCGGCAACCGGCCGAAGAAGAAGGGAAAAGAAAAAATGAAAAAGAGAAAAAGAAAAAGAAAAAACAAAAAAATTGCAATTTCGATTTTTTTTGTAAAAATGTTTTTATAAGGCTAAAGAGGGAAATTGGTTGGAAATAGATTCTAAACTCAATCCATTTAGACTCATTTTCACAGGTCCACCGAGCACTAACAAATGGCATAGAGCAGTAATAGAGTCCGAAATCTTGAAATTGAAACGGAGCCGAAAACTCCCCATCATAGCTCGTGAAGACTGGTTCTGAGCAGGACCTAAAAAGGCTCAAGAAGGATAATGGGAGGGAACACCTCAGTGGAGGAGGGAAGTCTCAAACTCTTTTGTATTTCCTTTTTTCAAGGAAGAAAAAAATTTGGAGGGAGCTTGGGGGTTTCTGGGTGATGAAGGTAGACAACACGTCGATTTCAGCTAGCTATCGTTGGGTAGACGGGTATAATAGCTTCTCGCGTCTGGTGTTGTCGCTAACGCGACTTAACCCGCAAGGCAGCATCATTCCCCTAGTTATGTCGTGTTGTAAACTTGAATGGCTTGAATCAAGAAGAATCAAGTCGACTTTGAGGCGTGATATCACTTTCCTTAAGGATTTATTTGCCCCACAATGTTGCTAATGGTCACGGCAAAAATCCTCCAGGATACAACAAAGTCTCAAAATGAGAATACTAGATAGCAATTCTAGTATTTCTCAGGATCTCTAGGAAACAAATTGAAAATGATGGCGTAGTTTTTCGAAAGAAGACTTGAAAAATTGATTGATTTTTCCTTCTGCCAAAATTGACATATATAGAAATCGGTCTTCATAGGCAACTCTTCACGAAAGGTTGCAAAGCTAACAAAGATATTCCGGAAGAAGTTACAAACTTAACAAATGCAACCCTTCGGAAAAGGTTGAAAACTGAACAAGTATAATCTCCAAAAGTTGTCTTGAAAAGACAAATGTAAAATTCGAAATAAAATAAAATAAAATATATATATAAATAAAATTCGGAATTTTCATAATTTCGAAAATTATTTAATAAACAAAAAACAACCTTTCAACTAATAAAGATTAAGGAGATAACCTTACGAAATAAAATAAAAAATAAAGGGATTAGAGCTAATTAGGACCCAGCGTAAGCGCTGCAAAGTGCTAAGTGCGCCTAATAATCGCGCCAAAATCGCGCAATTATTCGCACCACGCTGTACGCTGGTATTGACTATGGACTATACACCGCATTGTCTTCACTCTAAGGAGTAAGAAGACACTCACGATTATAAAATGGACCCATTTACCCAAAACTTTCCTACATGGGACAAAAGAAAAAATATTATTTTGTTTGTTTTACAAACAAACATCCAACATGTCGCGTGTGGGCTTGTCCAACCGAAAAAACAAAGGCCGTCGGCTTAAATTCGGCATCTTCTTTCGGCTCAACCGTCGTTTCTCCAAAGTTAAAATAACGAAAGCCCCTCAATTCATCTCTGCTCGGACCAAATCCCATCCGTGCGCCGACATGGCCACCGCCGCGTTCGCACCCCAGCACCTCCGATCCTCCTCCTCGCTCCTCCTCCTCCTCCTCCTCGCCGCCGCGCCTCCGCCGGCCCACTCCCTCTCCTACTTCCAGTACAAGACCCTCCTCTCCCTCGCCCACTCCCTCGCCACCCGCGTCGCCACCCTCCGCGCCTCCCGCGGCGACCTCGCCGGAGCGGACCGCGCCAGGGCCGTCGCCGAGAGGCTGCGGCCGGGCCGGTGGCCGGGGGTCGGGCTCTGGCGATCGGCGTGGTCGGTGGGGTGGGACTACGCGCGCAACTACGCGTGGGGCTGGAGGGACCTCGAGCGCCGGGAGATGTACGGCGCCGTGTCGGAGCTGGGCGAGCTGCTGGGCCTGGTGGGGGAGTTCGCGAGGGCGGAGTCGGAGGCGGAGAGGGCGAGGTGGATCGGGGGGAATTACGGGAATGCCATGCGGGTCTCGAAGTCGGTCTTCGCGAGGCTTCTCAGAGTGTTCAGCAAATCGGTACGGTGTCATTTCTTCCCTTGTTCAATTTTTTCTGGTCAAATTCATAGCAGATGATTGTTGTTAATGGTAGTAGAGACATTATGCGATTACATTTCATTCAGAATCATGATCAGTAGAAATGGGTAATTTGTTTAGCAAGATCCCAAAGGGTTGAAGAAGATAAGAAGTCTGTACGAGGTCTGATCAAGTTTCATACATTTTTTACTATGTTTGGAAAGATTTTGAGGCGGGTGAGGAAAATGAAGGTGATGAAAAGGAATGCTTAGGATCTTCTTTCAACGGGAGGTACAATCTTCAGGACTAGAGATTGCCCATGGACTGAATGATTTATCTACTCTAGAGAGAGAGAGAGAGAGAGAGAGAGAGAGCGAGAGAGACAGAGAGAGAGCCATTAGTAATGTACATAGAGAGCCGACTTGAAGTCACTTTCCAAGGCGACTCACCATGCAATTAACATTCCAAATGCCAAAACTATTGACACCCAGAAGTTGAATTACTTACTGTACCAGAAATGAGACACATAGGGAGTCGCCCATCCTTGACTCTGCTTAGCTGAAGCATCTTCTTCTCAACTTCCCGGTTTAATACTAGGGCAATATGACTCGGTTTGGAAGGAATAAGATGAAGATCAGGCATCTTGTCTTTGCTTCTAACTTTGTCGAAGATAGAAATGATTTTCTCGATGAAATACATTTTTTTTTAACACTGAACATGAATTTAACTGAATATTTTTGAGATATTAAAACGAACATATTAGCTTCTATACCAGTTGATTGTTAAACTAACTCGAAATATAAAAAAATTAAACAGAAAGGAATATTATCGGTTGAATAGAACAAAGACCTCTGTGCATTTGACCAAGTTGGTCAAGAGAAACAGAGACCAGATGTGCTAGGCCAAACTGTTGAAAAAAGAAGAGGCTAAAAGCATTACGTCAACAGAAGTTCAAATACATGTGTGAGTGAAGGATATAATGCAAATTTGTTCCTTTCTTATCCCCGATGATGATCTTTGGGATCTTTACAGGGTCCACTGCGGGAGTTGGTAGAGAGCATGCAAAAGGAAGTGGTGGATGGTGATTTCCTGAGGGATTGTCTGGAATTGGGAAGTAATGACTTGAAAGGACTGATCCAAATTTTGAAGGATCTTACCTCTCAATATTACTCGTCACCTGATCATGGCCATGATCTCTAGAGCATCACCCAGGACATGTATTTGGAACCAATTTTGCACTGAAGGTCCCTGGGTAAGCACTATGTTTATGTACCACATTACAGAAGGAGTTGAACATTTCGAAATCATTTCTGCAGAATTTTGGCGGGAGTTGAGGAGGTGAACATAGAGAAGTAGAGAACTCTGATTGCTAGGTGTCATCTGAGTCATGTTGTTATTGTTTGGAGTTTCTTCAGCATCTTTTCTGTGGTGGAGAGCTGTAAATAGTTCTCAGCTGTAAAGATGTAATTCCTTTGTCTTTAATCGGATAATTTTCACTTTCTATGGTGTTGAACTAATGACATGAAATTGAACAGTTATGATCACCTCAACGTGACAATAGGACCAAATTTTTTTTTTATTTGTAGTTATATTGGAGGGTTGTGTCTGTTGAGGTCATTCCTTTACTTGAACTATTTCTGTAATGATGAACTGAACACATCATAATGATTTATAGTAAACTGAACACATTGAACTCAAGAACTCGGTTATCTTGGGTGAATCTTTACTATCAATTGGTGTAACTTATGAGATCTTATGTTGATGAACTTTTACCCCAAAGTTCCGAACTATACCCTTCTTTTAAGACCTTTTGTTAAGATTGACATGATAAATTTGGAAGGTAATTATAGTAATTTAGCTGAACAGAGACTTTCTCTTTAAATAACTGTCTAATGTAGCCACAACCAAAGTGGACATGGAGATAAACCCCTCTTCTCCCTCTTAAACACCTGGTTCTTTCCCAATTCATGGATGTACCTTTTTCTTCCATCCCTCAACCTAATTTTCTAAACTTAAGTTTTCTCCTCTGTCTCTACCCTGTTTTCTTAGTGCGAGAGAATCTTATTGAGCAAAGACAAGTGGTAGTATTGTTTCTATTAAGGAATGAAATAACCAGAATCGGTGGCAAGAACAATAACTGAAGGAAGAGGATGATTTGCTTTTTTCGTTTTTTGTTGCTTGCAAGATTGTTGTTTAAGTTATACTTTTAAGGAATGGAATGCCTATAAAATTCATCAGCAAATGTATAGCAAGGTGTAAATTTTAGGACTTAAGTTTCTGACGACATTCTTCCGTTGTAGTGATTATATAGAAGTCAGATTACTTCTCTCAAAAGATAATTATGTTGTTTCTTTGCTTTTTCTCTGATGCGAGTACAAAAGCTTGGAATGCTAGTATCGTCTAAAAGCTATCGAAGAAGCTGCACTCATTCTGTCTCTGGCCTGTGTGATTCTGCCTGGACTTGTGGTTTTGGTGTGCTTTCGTTTATGTCAGTTTGTTTGGAAGCGGCTGGTGTAAACATATGTGCTAGAACTTTTATTAATTTTCTCTCGTCAGATGGGTATTATAGCGTCCTGAAGTTGTATTGCCAGATTAAAAATTGGAGAAGAATCGACGTTGCAATTCAGGCTGCACTGTGAAAAGTTGAATACAACCTCACTAAAATTTCGGATTGCTTCGATGACATGCATAACTATGATGAAAGGAAAACGTGAGGGTGATGGCCGTTGCTGGGCTGAAGAGAAAAGATTGCTGTTAAAACCCTACTAATGGCTCTACGATCAAACATTTTTTATGACAGTTCAAGTATTTGTATGTGCCTTTGGATTTGCTTGGAGTGAATTTTTCGGGTTGACGATCCTTTGCATTGAAAAGGACATTCTTCTGAAGCAGGTCATTTGATTACTCATTCATCTAAGTGTGGGATCCTGGATAGTCTAGGAATTCTTCAATGGTGTTTCAGTTGCTGCCAGGACAGGTATTATGCTTTCATGATTTTCCAACCAATGATGGGCGTCTAAGTCAGCAAGTACCATCTACAGATTTTGATCTAGTTTTGTCTGACCTGGTAATTGGTATTCCTAATAAAGGGTCTAAGGCATTCAGAATGGCATGAATAGATTGGAGATGCTTTTCAGGAGATAACCTCTCGCCACAACGAGTTACCTGAGGACATTGTCTTTCAGGTCAAGAAATCTTGCAGCGAGAGACATGTGGTTCCGTTCCAAAAGCCAGGATTTGTGTTTTCAAATCAAAAGTGACTCGGACATTGTTTTTTCTTCACGCGAGCATGTTGTTTTTCTAGGTTGTCAATTCGTGTTTGTGATTCATATTCTTGTTGTGTCGATTTAAACAGCATGCTGTGAAACAGATTACTTGAAACGCGTCATGTTCAGAATTGTTTCCAAAGTCCAAACCCGGATACAATCCGTTGCTCGGACATGACCTGCACAACCAATTCAGTTTAATGATCGGACCTCCGTCACCCATCTACTCCAATGGGAAAATTGTATAGAAAGTCCTAAACTTATTGCGCTTTTTATAATTTCTTTGCCACTTCTCTCCCTCTCCCTCTCCCTTTTGATCAGAAACAGTTTCTGTCACTGGAGTCACTGTAGGTGGTAATGGTGATTAGTGTGCGAAGATGGAAGTAGAAGATGACAGAGATGAGTTGAGTGGATTAATATCAAAAGGGAGGAATAAGTGTCGACGTCTTGTGAAGGAGACAAGTAATGCCAAATGAGGCAGATGATCCTCACGTATAATATTGTCAATAATAAGTAAGAAGAACCTAACTTTAATCAACCTGTTCTAGACATTTTGAACTTTCAATTTAACCCTACACAAATTTAAGTCAAAAAATTTCAACTTCCAATTCTACCCTCAACACATCAAAGAATTATTAAATTTTCAAAATATTTTCGATATGATTCTAAATACATCTATTCTGATGTAAGTTGTCAAGACATCTAATTTATATTGTTACCCTAAACAAAGCTAATATAAAATAAATTTCACAGCATAGTAATAGTGTATAAAAAGAAACTAAATCATACATCATTATAGTTTCATATGTCAAGTTGTGATGATGCTCAAAACCAAATAAGTAAAATTAATGTTTAAAAGTAAAAGAGAAAAAAAAGAAAATTTCAAAAAAAGGCATGAAATGGGGCAATTTTCTTAAAAGCGGACTAAAAAGGATATTTTACCAAATAAGATCCTAAAGTGGCCAACTCAGCCTTAGATAAAATTTTTCAAGTTCTAACATGGCCGAGGGCATCTTCATGCAGGGCATTTTTTTCTTTTATTTCTCACTTTTCCTTTTCTTTTGTTCATCTTCTTCTTCGTTCGTTTCTTTTTCCCACTAGGTGTCCCATCCAGCGCTCAGCGATATCATGGTCAAGCAAAAATGCAAGAGAAAATGGAATTATCTAATATTTGGGTCAATTACATGTACATATAATTTATAATCATGTTATCATTTGCTATTCTGAGGCTGGATTGGTAATAACGAAAATATTGCTAAAACTGCTGAATAAATTGTATAGTCTATATAAATAATAATATGTCGATTTAAAAGACTGTTTCATTGTTTTGAACAAAACAAAAACGGATATTGCTTGGCATGTTGCTTAGAAAATTCTTATGGGTTGGAAATACAGAAGGCCATGGATCTCACAAAGTTGCTTGGGATGTTATCTACTCGCCGAAAAAGGAAGGAGGACTAGGGTTGCTTGATCTCAAATTATGGAATAAAGTTTTGCTTGGCCGCATGCTTTGGAACCTCATAAATTGTCCATCATCTTCCCTATGGAGTAAATGAGTTCACAGTGCAAATTGTAGAGGAAATCCGATTATGCAGCTTGAAGTCAAGGGTACTATGGCATGGAGTTGGCGTTGTATCCTGCAATTACGACCGGCTTTAGGTTCAGCCATATCTAAGCCAATATATTGTTGCCAAGAGATATATGATGAAACCAGGAGGGCGGGATCAACTATGGAATGGTGCCAGTTGATCTGGAAAAGCGGTATCAGCAAGCACAACTTTATCGGCTGGCTAGCATGCAGGAATAGACTACCCACAGCAGAGATCGTATCACGTTGGAAGCCTGAAGTAAATAACCATTGCAATTTTCTGTCTATTTGATATGGAAAGCAGAGATCATCTATTCTTCCGGTGCACCTGGACTAAAAGCATTTGGCGTACTTTCCTTGCACAATACGAAATCCTGCGGTATATAGGAGGATGAAATGAAGAACTCGAATGGATGATAAGTGCTACCAAAGGCAAGGATTTGGCAGCTAGAATTCTCAAGGTATCTTTCCTAGCGACCATTTATTGCATCTGGATGGAGTGTAATCATAGACGTTTCCAACACAAGTCACATGATGCCCCCATTATCTTGGCTAAAGTTCATAAACTTGTCAGAGGGTGAGTTTCGCACTACAAAACTTTCAGACCTTCTATGGTAAATGTAATGTTGGCTAATATATGAAGACTCCCACACTCCATTTTTTCGTGATCATAGTCTTCTTTGTAATTCTGGAGTATGCCCCTAAGCTTTTGTACATCAACTTATGAATGGTACTTACATTTCACATCAAAAGAAAAAACAAAACTAAAAGGGATACAATATCAGAGTGTTAAGAAAAGGTGATACCTCTTCCATACCAAGATAGACATGACAAAAGACTGCACCGCACATGTTGGAAGGATAAAAACACAAGAAAAATGTGTTGCGCTGCGTCTATATGTTGAGGACATGAAGTTTTATAACTTGTCTATGGTAAGAGCCATTGTTGCATGATCCTACTGCATGTGAGCCTAGGGCATATGTGCCGTTAGGTTATGTCAATCCCACATGGGACCCACTTTATCCAACGGTATATGAGTTTTGCTCACATGCGTCCAAATCATGTTAGAACTTTTTGTTTAGTTAAACATGTTTCAAAACTGCAGCACCCTCAAGACCTAACGGGATAACTTCTTAAACAGCTTTTATAAGTTGCTGCAACTTTGAGTGTGTTGCAATTGTGAAGAGTTTGTCAAGTACTTTTATAAGTTACAACATTTGTTGTCACAACTGTAGCCATTAGCTATACTAAATTAACTCTCAGAACATATCTTCTTCTTCTTTTTGTTCGTAGAAAGTCCTCGGAATTCATTTAGTAGCAACATTGGAAGACATCAAATGGGCTGAACATAATAAACCCCAAAAGGGTCTGAGTGTTTGGAAACCCAGTTTTGGGGGAGCACTTATTGAATTTGGGCTTTGACAATCCGGTTCATTACTCTATTTGTTTCTCTTGAGCAACGGGTTAAATGGAAATATGAAAATTTAAAAAGTAGAGATCGACACTCTTCGACAAGCATCGCCCTCATGAGAGTTAACTTATCTGATTCAAGACTCCAACTAATATCCTTTGGAAGTTGTTATAGACAACTCTGAGCGTGCTATGGTCTCGCGGAGTTGGTCAAATACTCTTCTATAAGTAACAACATTCGTTTTCACTCCTA